CTCCCCCACCCCTCCCCCCATCCGCCACCATGATCCCCATCAAGTCCTTCACACTGGCTCTTCCATTGGCCTGAGAGGCTTCAGCCCTGGATATCCACCTGCCCTGCTAGATTCCTGCACTTCCTTCAGGCCTTTACTCAAGTGAGACCCAGACCTCTCCTGATCAGCCTATTTAATTTTTTTTTTTCTTTTTGGCGTCTGGCCAGTAGGGGGATCTGAACCCTTGACCTTGGTGCCTTGTTATCAGCACTGTGCTCTAACCAAGTGAGCTAACCAGCCAGCCCGACATTTAAAATAACAATCTCTCCCCACTGCCTGTTCCTCTCCCCTTTATTTTTCTCCATAGCACTTCTCATCTTCTGGCAGACTTGATATTTTACCTGTTTATGTGCTTAATTATCTGTCTGCCCCAACCAGAATGTAAGCTTCAGCGGGCAGGAAGTCTTGTCTGTTTTGCTGACTGTTCTATCCCCAGGGCCTAGCTTGATGCCTGGCACATAGGAGCTGTTCAGCAGAAATTTGTTGAATGACTGAATGAAGGAAAGAGGGGAGTGTGCTCCTGGGGGTGCAGAGAGGGTGGATGACAGCAGACTCGATGTCACTGGCCATCTCTGTGTTACCTATATGTGCTAAGGAGCTGAGCAGAGCACAGCTGGGGGTCTGGTCAGCTTGTCACTGTGACATTGTGGTGATTCATGTCCTATCATCTTCAAGGTCAGGTTCAAATTCTCCATCTGAGATCTGCTAAACGTTCCATCCTCACCTTGTCCTGCTTCCTCCATGAGGCATGGATAGTATTCATTCTCTTTTTCTCCCATAGTTGTTTAATATTTTTGATGGGCCCATGCCTCCCCAGAATTAAAAACTGCATTTCCCAGCTTCCCTTGCAACTAGTGTGGCCCTTGGCTAACAGGATGTGGGTGGGAGTGTCATGGAGCAGTTCTTGGGATGTTTCCTTAAGAGGAGATGGCCAGAACTTGGTCATGACTTCTTTGTCCCTTCCACCATTCGTCCTGTGGCCTGAAACTTGGATCCACCTTGTGGGCCATAAGGGCCCTACCCTGAGGATAGCAGAGTGGTGAGCCTGCCTGGAAGGTTGCTGAGGACTTTCCCCAGCAGTCTCCATACTGCACACCTGGACTCCCCACCCCAGCCCTTTCAGTAAGATGGAAATAAACATCCCTTTTGTATAAATCACAGTTAAAGCTTTTCTGTTACTTAAAATCAAACCTAGTCTTGACTAATTCAGCCCGTTTTGTGACCAACACAGGGAAGGGAAGTCTGAGCTAGAGGAATATAAGGCCTTGTGCTGAGGCCCAAGCAGCCAGCATTATCTATCACTCACGGATGTGTATACCCAAGCTTGTTTTTCAGGATCCAGGGAGCATCATGCTCCAAAAAGCGACAATGGAACTCCTGACCACGGACAAGTTCTGAGGGCTCCTTTCTGGGCCCAAATGCAAACTAGTCTTCAGGAACTGACCAGTGAACCATGTTTCATAATCATCCAACCCAAACTGAACAAGTTTGCATCCTCCATTTGCATAAAAGCACCTAAATGGGGTCCTGGGTGGGGAATTGGCTGGGAACTTAGTCTTCAAAGGATAGTCCCTTTTCTTTGTTCAGGGAGACACTACTTTGGGAATTATCCCCAGTGTACTCCATTACTTATTACAAGTAATAAACCTTCCTATCCAGACTTCTGGTTGCATGTATTGGCTACACTCACTGGGAGATGAACCCCTTGAGTCTGGCAACACTTTCATGAAAACTGGACATCTAGCTCTTCTGATCCCTGATTCTAATTCATTGCCTCACCAGCTCCATAATTGATTGATTGATTGAGCCATTCACCCAATCCTTGATTCTTTACTGAATACTTACTTCAAGGCATTGTGTTATGTGCTGGAAATGCAGTGTTGGGTGAAATAGAGAAGAAGCCTGTCCTCATGGAACAAAGAGGGAGACACATATGAATCAACTAGTCTTGCTCATACAAGTACAATTACAACGGAGATCACAAAAGGCGAAGAACTGTATGGCATTTACTAGGTGCCAGGCACGATTGAAAGTGCTTCATATCTACGAATTCATGGAATTCTCAGAATAATCTGATCAGGTAAGTACTGATATTAACATCTCTACAGATGAGGAAACAGGTGCAGAAAGGTTAAATAACTTTCCCAAGGGTCCATAGCTCTTGAGTGCTGGTCTCATTACAAGGGCATCTTACCCTTCCATTCTTCTCTCCTTGCAGAAGGCATTCATGAGGAGGAGGAGGAAATTAGAACTCTCTAGGCCATGCTGTTCAATATGGTAGCCACTAGCAACAGGTGTTATTTAAATTTAAATGAACTAAACTGTAATGAAATAAAAAAATTCAGTTCCTCTGTCATTAAACCAGCCACATTTTAAGTGCTCAACAGCCACATGTGGCTGATGGCCACCACATTGGACAGCTCAGATATAAAACAGTTCCATCACTGCAGAAAGGTCTGTTGGACAGTGCTGCTGTATATGTGCTATGGTTTCTTGGGGCTTTCACTGAAGAGTCACTTGGAAATGTCTCTCCCCCAAAGACAGCCGCGGCACATCATCAGACCTCAGTGACCAAATTACAAGGATTGCCCAAGGTTCCAAGAAGCCCACAAGATCTGCACACATGACATCTATCAACAAAGCCCCCAGTGTAGCCCATTAGCATGTTGTGGCCTCCTT